GGTACCCTTGTTAATAATGGGTTACTGGGGAACCTAGGATGCCAATGGCCAGAATTGCGGCCGACGTAATCAGCGTCAGTACCGGCATTAGCGCCTGTGAGTTGGGTGGCCAGTCGCAGATGGCCCCGTACCTCTTCGCGCAGATGGATCAGTGTGAGCAGCCAGCGCTGTGCAAGAGTTGATCACCAACGATGCCATGGGGAAGGTGCTCTGTGCTCTACTAGGAAATTGATGGCGTTTAGCGGCTGTTTCGAATAAAAGTGAAAAACCCTGCAGACAATTGGGACTCCCCCCGTAAGGCCAGTTAGGGGGTTGTAAGTAGGGTTGTAGGACCAGCTATATGTAGTTGAGAAGTCCCATGAACCTCCAGGTGTCCCTAAACCCTAAGGGTTTGGGGTTTAGGGTTTAGGGTTTAGGGTGGGAGGTGGCTGCCACTTTCCTGCAGATGGCTGCGGTGAGCATCACGTCAAGTACGCCAGGTTTCTTGCATTTGCTGGTTAATCTTTAGGTGGGGGTTTCCCAGTTCTTTTTTTTCTGCGGTCTATATGGGGAGTCCCATATTTTGGGAAACTACCAGATGAGCTGGCGGCGTTTAGGTGGTTCAGCATTTAGCGGGGTACTTCAGTTGAGTGCTTAGGTTTTCTGGCCTTAGTAGCCAAATGAGGGTTAGGCATATGTACCATAATCTAAACTCCTTAAAGGGGGTTATATAGGGATTATTTGGGGGAGTACTATAGGGGTTATTAAGGGGGATACGAGGAGTTTAGACTATGGCTCATATAGGCTTTCAGAGCTTAGGGTTTAAGGTCCAAAGTTCGGACCTTAACCCCCAAACCGTAAACCCTAATCCCTATAAACCCTAAAACCCTTAAACCCTTACACCCTTAGCCCTTGAACCCCTAAACCCCTAAACCCTAAACTGCGTTGCATGGTCGCAGCTGCACAGGTGCTACTTGCATTCGATGTTCGCGTCCTGTGCTCTATTGCAGGATGAGGCGTTACATGATTCCTAGGTCCTAGAGGTGCCAAATACCTAGTTTAGGGGTCTATATAGGGTTTAGGGCTTAGGGTTCAGGGTTTAGGGTTTATGGCTTACGGTTTATGGTTTAGGGCTTAGGGTGTATAGGCATGCGTGAGGTTTAATAGGGTTACCAGAATAGTGAGCTCATGGAGGTTACCTACGTAAGCCATGCTAAGCATTTAGCGGCACAGTAGCCCCTTGCGTTGTCACTTAGGCTAGGTAAGCCAGACAAGAGGAAGTTCCCCACATCGAGGATCCATCATAACCTGATAGCGGGTCATAGTACCAGTATAATATTCTTCTACACTTTAGATACTGATTGCCATGTTGGTTTGGGCTTTGATTCTGCTCCATTGGACCCTGCTTTCAGGTTCCTGGGGTTTAGCTAGATATCATAATTGGGCTTACAAAACCGTCTCACAGAGGTTACCTTAGTAAGAAGAAGGGCTATGACCCATTTCTAGACGGTTACGAAGTTTCAGGAGCCTCCAAACCTTAACCCCTAAACACTATATCCTTAACCCTTAAACCCAAGCCCTTAAGCCCTAAACCCTAAACCCTTCAACCCTAAACCCTAAACCCCAAACCCTAAGCCCAAACGCTAGGTGATCCGCGGTGCAAGCATTTATCGGCGTGGCCTCCAATGAAGTGCTCCGTGGCTCTTGAGAAAATTGAGGTTACCATATGATAATTGGTTCTCCCTAGTAGGTTTAGGGTTTAGGGGACGATAACCCAAAATATATCCTATTCTAATATAATAAAGTAGTTTCCATTTTCTTTTCCATTATCCCATATATCCAAACGAGATTGTTGACATCAGGTTTACGAGGTACTATGCGGGTTTCCAAAACTAAGGATCCCTTTTTTTGTTGCCCCTAAGGGTTTAGGGTACATATCGAGGTTATAATTAGGGTTATATTCGGGTAACGTTGGGGTACTGGTGGGGTCATATTGGGGATGTAATGAGGTTATATTGGGGTATATATCTATTTATGGAAGCCACCATATGAGGGCTTATTGAATCGAAATATGGGTCTCGTTCAACTTCTATTGTTGTGGTATACGGGCTTAAGGCAATAACGTCGGCAATTATCCAGTCTTCTACAAAACCTGTTAGGGGTTCTGAGTGCTTAGGGCTTAGGGAGTCACGTGCAGGTGCCGCTGCGACTTCACATATGCGGACATCCGTGCTGAGCTTCCTTTAGCACCGCCCGCGGATTGTCACTTCGAATCTCTTCACCGCCGTATTGATTCGCGCAGGACCATACTTATAGTTGCTTCGCAAAAATGATGGACAGGACCAGCCAGGGAAACAACCAGCGCTAAGGGTCCCGCATTACCTGGCCAAGACCCACTGTAGCCCTTTATACTTACCCTACCCCTGTTTGCGGGTATAGGGTTCAGGGTGTAGGGTTTAGGGTATGGTTTATGTCTGGTATGCAGTAAAAACAAGAATACGTGCACTGGAAAATACAGTATAAGGGGCAGACGTAGACACCAGGTGCCGTGCCACAAACTTACCTCTTTTTAGCAGGGAGGTTATAGAGGGGTATACAGGACCCAAATAATGGTGTTTCAGGGCTCAAAAAACCATTGATATTATAGTAGTCGGGCCCTAAAACCCCTATTATTAGGATCCTTCTAAACCCTAAAACCCTATTTTTGGGGTCCTTGGACCCTTAGGCTACTTTCAGAATTCCCGTTGCCTTCACGTGGCCCCAAGTAGGGAGTTCCCCAACCCTCAGCCCTAAACCTTAAACCCCAAACCCTAAACCTTAAACCCTGAATCCTAAACCCTTACCACCTTAAACCTTCGTGTGATCTACACACCTCGACGCAGGCAGACTTGCTGTTGTCTGTTGAGACTCGGATCGAAAACTTCCATGTCGAGGCTAGAAGTGTGGGTTTAGGGTTGGGGGTTTAAGGCTTAGGGCCGGGCTTAGCGCTTAGGGTTTGGGTTTTAGGGGGGGGGGGCTGTGGTTATGGCGTAAAATAGGAATTATGTAAGGTTTCTACTAATAACTAGTGGATTCCGGTCCTTGAGTTCCTAGGCCCTAGGTTCTAGGGCTTGGGCTTACAGCATGCATCTCTCCATGTTCTGTAAAACCTGCTGTCTCTTCTTCAAAGTCACCCATAAAGCCTTAGAGAGACTCCTATAAAGAGAGCCACACCCCCACAACAAAAGACAGAAACGTTAAGCTCTACATACTTTTGTATAAACCTTCATATGGGGATACTACAGGGGTATTATATGGATATGATGGGAATATTCGGGCACATTATTGGGGTATTATGTGGATATTATACTGTTATATACACCTCGTTTAGCCAGAATTCTTCCAAGTCTGAACTCTGGACCGTGCAGCTCTCCAAGCGCAGGCAGAGCGGCTACGGGCTCTGGAGACCCGAATGCAATGCTTAGAGGTTGAGGCCAGCACTGAGCCGAGATTTTGTCGATTTGGGGTTTAGGGCTAACCCTATAAGGGTCCAAGGACGCAAATAGTAGGGTTTTAGGGCCCATGTACCATGTATATTATAGTACTTAGGCCCTAAGACCCTATTATTTGGGTCCTTGGACCCTTAGGGTAAGGGTTTAGGGATTAGATTTTTACGAGGTTGGATATACGGTGAATGAAGGGAACATTGCACCACTTAGGGTCCTTGACGACAATATTTCCTCTGACGTAAGGTACTTAACATGGTGCAGGATTTCCTGCATCAACTGTGTGGTTTAGGGATAAGGATCAAGGGTTTCGACCACCAAGGGATTCGCCCTCGCCCAACCGAACCTCAAACGGTGGGCGGGTTGCGCACATGTATATACAGAGAGAGAGAGAGAGAGAGAGAGAGAGAGATAGAGATAGATAATATCAAGGAATCTAGGGTACTTCCTTGATTGAGGTGTATTGGGCCGTCTGAGGGGGACATGGGCTGAAGTCCAAGAACAACCAAGTTTAGGGGTTTAGGGGTGTGATGGTACAGGGGTGCCGGGTTGGGGATTTAGGGGGGTTTGGGGTGTAGTTATAGAGAGAGAATACTAGCAACACTAGTGGTTTCGAATTACCATACCCAGCTCGTAATCTCTACATCCAGTATCCATGTAGCTTTACTGTCAATTTGACCTGCCATTTTGCTGGATCCCTTCGTCTTCGCGGAAAGCCATGTACGGCGCCACCCAAGACGCGGATCTGTTGCCGCATCTGACGAGGCATCCGGCTTCGCAGTTCGTGGCTTCTACTGGGCACCCGGCTTCACAGTCCGTGGCCCTGCGGATCCCAAGGCGGCGGCGAAGACCGCCGCGAAGGCGAAAGGAAAGAACAAAAACCAGCAGAACCCCGTGGCGACGTGGGACGTGCGGAGAGCGAAACTAAGTACCCTTGACAAAGTGCCTTTTCCTCTCGTCGACAGAAAGGAAATGAGAACCTTTTGCAGGGTGTGATCCTTGCCGCAGTGGCCTGTACCAAAGAAGGCGGGCCCTAAGCGGCCGCCGCTGAAGGAGGGCCGCAGTTTTCAGGGCAATGTCCATGGATAGAGAATGTCAACCCAAAAGGACTTTGTTGCAGGCTTTGGGAGTTTGTATATATTGGCCAGAAAAAAGGGGGTTTTGGGGACATTCGTTCCCCTGTGCTCCGCTTTGTTGGACAGTCCCCCGCCCCAAGAATATAAGTCCTCAACCCAATTGCACCCCTTAACCCTAAACCTTGGACCATGTCGGCCTCTTGACGTACGGTTTAGGTCTCATGGTATCTTTGCTTGGCTGGCAGTTTGGAGGTTTGAGTTTGGGATGTGAGGTTGACAGCAGCGTGGGTTCCATAGGGGTTACAGGTTTTTGGCCCATAGGGTTGTTGGTTCAGGGTTCAGCGTCAAGAGCGTAGGGTTCAGGGTTAGGGCCTATAAACCCCAAACCTCAAATCCCTTAAGCCCCAAACCCTCAACCGCGGCGCCTTAGCAACCATAAGGCCCTGTGGGTTTAGAGTTTTTGGCCTTTCCCCAAAAGGGGCGTCCCTTTGCAGTGGTTTCATAGGGATAGTTCAGGTGTCTCCCTTAGCCTTAACCTTGGGCTGCCAAGGGTTTAGGGTTTAGGGAGACCCTAACCCTAAGCATCAAAATCACCTACCAACCCTACATGGCCCAAATTCCTTCAAATATGAATCCTTAGAT